TAAGTTTTTTTAAGGAGGTTCCGGACACTGGTTGTCTGTGTTATTGAGGGGAAGATGGTTTCTTTTTTGTTTCACTATGGAGTTTGTCGTTGCTGTTTTTTGTCGATATTTCCACTGTAGCTTAGGTCTCCTGTTTCTTGTAAACCACTTGGTCGATCGATCYGCTACTKCACAATCCTCTTCCCCTTATTGTAAGGATTGTAACACTTGTCTTGTGAGCGCAATTGGTTGGGTATTGATAAAGATCTGGAGGAGTGACAGCTTGCCCTGTTGAGGTTGATTAAATGAGAATATTTTGTATTTTTCGTGTGCTCAGAAATCAACAAGCCCGAAAAGGTTCTCTGACAGGAAACATATACAATATGGACATGTATCGAAAGAGGAGGGAAAACCCTTTCCGACTGATCAATTCTCTAATTCTGATTGGTCCTTGTGCTTGAGTTAACAAGCAAGCAATGTTAGCAAAAAACTGGCGCGTTTTRTGTACTCATAACCTGTTAGAAATCGATGGTCTTAATTCGAACCCAAACAGGTACCGSTAGGCGCATGCCTAACACGAGAAAAAAGCTGTTGCGCTACCGGTACCATCACAACATCGTACGACGACCGACGACCGACGACGTCTCGTACTGTTTTTTCGTCTGTCCATCGACGAAATCGTATTGTCGTCCAACGCTGGGCCAGGAATTAGTAATTGTACCTTAGAGTACTGCACTTACGGGTACAAACTTGTACTACAGTATACCGTTCAGWACGTACCRTACGTACTGTTACCAGTACGAACTCGTAACCAGTGATGATGTTTAATTGTCGTCTTTCGTCTTCAGTTCTCACGGTTGGTTCGGTACCATTACCGGCAGTACAGGTTCATACGCAATGGGGATCATTTTACCGTAAATACGTCCGGGGACCAAAAGTAGATCAACGTAGATGACAAACAAAAAACTTCGGTCCAATTCTGGAAGCGGATGCTTGGCATCACAAAACCGGGTCTCCAAAGGACGATGTCGAATCCGAGGATTTTTAGTGCACATTCTGCTGAACAGAACCCGACACGGCTTTCGCCATGCCGAACAGTGGTCACCAGTTTCAATCCGAAAAAGAATAGCCAAACAAACGGAGATTACTACGACGACGGAGATTGGGTTCTATGCTTAGCTACTAATGAAGCATCCCATCGCGTTGGATGTGCATTGAGCAACGGGGAAGTTCAGATCTATGATCAGAATACAATGCATCACCTGCACACCTATCAGAGAGACAGCTTGGTGACGGAGACGACGTTTGAAACATTCGACGCCAACCTTTTAGCTGCAACCGCAAACGATGGAAGTCTTACGCTCTACGATATTCGCCAGCCAATACATCCGGCAATCGCAATGAACAATATGCTTCGGCCAGAGGAGGAAGCTTTGAGTCTTTCTGTAGGTTTCGATGGGAAAATTGCTGCTGTTGGGACCAGCAAGGGGAAGATTCATTTCTTTGACATACGGGACAAACGGGGCATCTTAGGGACTTACAGCCAGGCTCATACGAATGAGGTCACGCGCGTGCGTTTCCAGAGTTTTGCGACGCAATCACCGGGTTCGAATTTTACAAACAGATGCACAACACCAGTACTTGTTTCGGGATCAGAGGACGGGCTTGCGTGTGTTTTCGATACTAGCCAAACTACAGAAGACAGCGCTATCACGAATATTCTGACGGTGCAATCACCAGTTCGAGAAATTGACTTCTTCGGACCCAAATCGGACGCAATTTACTGCCTGACAGGATCAGAAAGCCTACAGTTGTACCACAAGGATGATGCAGTGTGTCGCAAAGATTTTGGTCCTCAATTTCGGGAATATCTTAGTCGACAAGTTTCAGGGAGCTCACAAAACGCGTCTCTTCATTCGCTTCCTTCGATAGAATACTTAGTAGATTGCAGTTGGGATTCAGGACAACAGGAACTGTCATTACTCGCTGGATCTTCAAAGGGAGACGGTGCTGTGTTCCGCGTAGGCGAGCAAGACTTGACTCCGATTCATCATCTCCGCGGAGGGCATCGAGGAGTCATTCGAGCATGGTCTACAAGCCCCAGAAGATCRTCGTTCTTGACAGCAGGGGAGGATGCTCGTTTGTGCGAATGGACCACAAGAACACCGGGAATTAGTGCGAATGGTCATGCCGTGACAGAAAACAAAATAATTATAAATCGAAAGAGACAGCACGGAGGGCAAAGTCCTCGCTCTGGCGGTGGAAAACTTCGGAAACCACGAAGTAGAATGTCTGCTTCTCCGTATTAAAGTTCCTGGGGTCTTGAGTATATGCTGGCTTCTAGTTTATGCTTATGACCATAAAGTCGAGGTGCTCTCGTTTTAATAATAATAAGCGCTTCGAACAGAAAACTCTATTTCAATCGAGAAACAGGCGGTAGACCAGATATTTTGATCACCATTCAATCTGCGGTTTTTCCATTCCGCCGTAAAGATTGACGATCTCATTTCAGCTCTGAGGAATGGGCTCATCGTCGCATGCAACCCATGCTTTTTCCTCCATTGTTGTCGGATCTTTTTTCTCCCCCAACCTTTCGGCATCCATAATATCTATCATTGTCATATCATCACGACCAAACGAGGCGCAAACGCATAGAAAACAAATTAGAACAGATGAGTCGCCATGGTACAACGAAACTGTTGCAGAAAATTAATTTATTGCTACGAAAAGAAGGAAGTACACCTCTCAAAAACCAAACCAACCTTTCTTGATCGCTGCAACGAGTTTTTCCAATCCTTCGAAGGGTAGTTCTGGTCTCATGTATTCGAGCAGAGACAGACGGATTGGTTGGTCGTACAAGTCTCCCAGCAAGGTCTCTCCACAACTGCTTTGGTACCGTCGCTCGTCCCCCGGACTGGCGATCAGGTGCGGCTCCACTGTTTTGCGCTGGTTTCCATAGTATGGATTGTATCCTATGCTACAGGCGGTCTTAAAAATTGTTGGATTGTCACCCACGCGGCAAAATCCCCAATATATCCCTTCGAAATAATTGGCGAGCACCGTATATGGTAGAACAGTCCAAAAGTACGAAAGAAACGAGGTTAGTTCATGATGCGACACAAATGCAATGCAAGTCAACGCAACCAAGCACAGCCCTCAATATCCCGACAACAGTCTGTGTTCCAAACGAAGTTCACGCTACACACCAGTGGGAAGATCGTCGAATGAAACACCGACGAGGTTTAGCTTGATGTTTTCCCTCGACAAATTCGCCGTTGGGATCCCGAGATCCGTGCTGCCGCGACCATACCCTCGGACGACAACCGAAGTCAGCCTAAGAGGCAAGGCCCCTTCAGAGGGTTGCTGCTGCTGTGTGGTGCCGCCGCATGTTTCCAACGGTGCTGGGGACATCCTTGGTTGCTGGTGCGTCAGTGAAGTTTGAACCACAGTACTGGTATCCGACGTCTTCGATGCCGACACACACTCTTTGAGACGACGTGAGACGAGAGTGTCGCATTGATATACTTGGGTACCGTACGGTACCGTGGCAGAATAAAGAATAATGCTGTAGAAGTACGAGTACGAGTACTTCCTTAGTAGAAGTATCAAAGATTCTTTGTACTCTATCGCACGACCTTCGTGTCGTACCCATGATGAGTAGTACTCGTACGCTTTAATGAAATTCATGAAAATCACAATCTACCAATAGTATCGTTCAAATCTACTAGACTGGTAGAAGAAAAGCAAAGTACTAAGTACAGTGCAGATACCAATCAAGAATGCAACTAATTTTGCAACAGTAGGAAATCATGTACAAGTCTACGTACGTACACTTCGCTATTATCCTACTGACCAGCACAGTATCGAAAACCTCAACTGATGCCAATCAGTTGAGAAGAAATATTCTCACAATTTTCGACAAGACAATTTCCATAGAATTTCCACAGAAAAAAAAGCAAGTCGTGAAGGTAATTCTCGACAATATCACGTCATGACAATGGTGGCACCATCTTCTTATCAGCTATTCAACTTGCTCCTCTTGTTGAGGCAATCAAGCAAAAAAGCAGTCACAGTTACTACTAACAATACTACTGACAAGAAAAAGCAGTCACAGTTAGTAACATACTATTTTAATGAAGAAACGAATCGAATCGAAGCAAAGCAACCGAAGCAACCAAAGCAACAAATCGAAGCAAAGCAACGAATCGAGGAAGCAAAGCAACCAAAGCAACGAATCAATGAAGCAACCGAAGCAATGAAGCAAAGCAATGAAGCAACCAGCAAAGCAACCAAAGCAACCGAAGCAACGAATCGAAAGCAATGAATCGAAAGCAATGAATCGAAAGCAACAAATCAAAAGCAAAAAATCGAAAGCAACGAAAGCAATGGAAGCAACCAAAGCAACCGAAGCAACGCGTCTGTATCGAAGCAACCGAAGCAACACGTCTGTATCGAAGCAACCAAAGCAACGAAGCAATGAAGCTAAGCAACGAAGCAACGAAGCAACGCAGGAACCAAAGCAACGAATCAAAGCAACGCGTCCGTATCCAAGCAACGGAAGCAACGCAGCAAAGAAGCAACCGAAGCAACGAATCGAAGCAACAAATCAAAGCAACCAAAGCAACGCAGCAACGAAGCAATGGAAGCAACGCAGCAATGAATCAAAGCAACAAATCGAAGCAACAAATCGAAGCACCACACAGCAATCAACCAGCCAGCTACCTCAACTGTACATGTCCTCCTTCCCTCTCATGCTTGGCAAGAGCCTTAAGGATCTGTGTTACAGTCTTCTYCTGTCTGTACACATCAAGTACTGTCCTGATAGCTTCATGAGCAGTCCCTGCTCTGTTCTTTATCAATCTTTCAATACACAACCAAAAAGGCTTCCTTCTGCAGTACACGAACTTGTTTTCCTTCGAATTTTGCTCAGCTGCAGTGAAGTTCTTAGCTGGTTTGTTACCAGCAAATCCAGACTCCCATTCATTCCATATCACATACAAGTTTCCTKGACTCCTTTGAAGGATTGCTTTCTCCTCCTGAACCACAGCATCAGCAGCTCCAGCATTAACAAGACGTGGCCTCACTCTTCTCTGGGCCACTGGAGCCATTGCAGCCCGATTACATGGAGCCTGCAGTCTCTTGTGCCTTTGCTTTTGTACAGCAAATTCCTTTATCAGCAAGTTTTCCATATTCGACATTCTTCTCTGCAAGTCATGCATCTTGGCATACATCACATTCATCCATTGTTGGTGTGATCTCCTCATTCCCATTGCACTGTTTCCACCAAAAGGCCCATCTCCAGCATTAGCAGCAGCACCACCTTGTTCATCTAGCTCAGGTGCAAACAGCTCATCAAAAGTTACTTGTCCACCTAATTCATTTGGAATCACTTCAACCTTGCGAATTGGGTTTGCGTTCCTATCTTCAATAGCAATACCAGCCCCACCATTTGCTCTCACTCTATTGTTCAGATGAAGAAATGAAGCAATTGCATTTCTTCTGATATCATCTGGAACAACACCCACCATAGAAGGTTGAAAGCATGCCCACAGCAGTGCCTTGCCTAGGATTACTGCTACATTCCCAGAACCTCTAATGTTACTTAGTACAGGGGGTGTTGGTGGGGTAAGCAGGTCTTACGGGAAACTGCAACAACCCCAACCCCCGGGCCTTCTCCCTTTAGGGTTAGGGCTTGGGGGTGAGGGGACGCTGCAGCCTCCTGGAGCCTGCTGATCCTACACCACCGGCACACGCATACTGCTGTGTAACTAGCTGCTGCCAATGGGCCAATGGCCAAAGGGAGGGAGCAAAGCGAGGGTGGGAAGGCACCGGTGCTCGGCGGAGCGCCCGGGGGGAGCCGCGGGCGCTACGACGCTTGTGTTGAAGGGACGGATTCTTCGGGGAGGAAGCTGTAGGTGCCGTTATTAAACATGAGGCTTGCGAGGTTTCGGAACAGCGGGACTGATTGTTGATGGAGATACCGCATCATGGCATCACTATGCCACCGTGCGAGGAGTTTGATGACATTGGAATCGCATCGGCCTTGTAGAAGTGCCATGGCGCCTCCTGCCCTCAGCGAGCGGGCGCTGAGCGAGGCTGGATCGATCCCAGTAGTGTACTGCAGGATGGCTGCATGCCATCGCATCGTGGTGGTGATCATTTGGGAGGTGATCCGTACATTGGTCCCTTTGGAGTCGTAAAAACTGGCAAGTTTGAGGGAGCCGTCGAATGTGGGAGAGTGTTTTCGGAGATGTAAGAATTGCCGTATAACTGCGGTGACGGGACAGCACAGGGGATTGGTACTGCGAGCGTGGGCAATGATATCTCCTTTAGTTCCATTCTTTTGGGTAGTGAATGTGAGTTGAATGGAGGTGGACGCGGTGATGTCCGCGGCGGGAGCTGTCGCAGGGGACAGCCGTCTGGAACCCACAAAGAAGGCAATGTCGTTGAGGGAAAATGCTTGATCATCTGATGTAGTTCCTGTGTATTCCCCCGGCCGTAAACAGAAGAAGAACGCAACACAAATCATGTTGGCAATGGCTTGTCTTTCCGGGGTTGGACTGCGATGATAAGCAAAGTTTAGGGCGTGTGTAACCAGCGTAATGGGGACAGGTTTCACTCGGGCTGGGGGCTTGTCCCGCTGTCGATAGGCTCTTAATTGTGAGGCAAGCCGGTAGTCTATTGTACCAAATTTGTTGAGCCTGGGGTCTTGGGCCCCCATCCGGGTGATCTTCTGGCCCACTGAACGGATGGCGTCACAAACCATATGAGCCCTTGCACATTTCCCGCTGGGGGACAGTCTGCCATCTTGGTACCGGGCTCCAAAGACCTGCTAGTATGGGACGGGGTCTTTGGTCGTACGGAGGAACGGGTCCAAGTGGTGTGACATGCAGTAGTGAAACCAGCATTCCCAATGGGAATCCTTCTTCTTGGCATACCCATCAGTGACACTGGATCGCATCTCCGTTTGGACAAGGATGAGATCAGTGCGGAATACATGGGCTTCCTGAGCTGGCAGCTTTGCCAGGGCAAGCTCTGTGGGAAGGTGTGATTGAAATAGGCAAGCAGCTGTGAGTCAGTGAGGTGCCAGGCGCGTGAAAGAGTATCTGCCATCACATTAGCTGGCCCTGGGATGTAGTCATGTCTTGGCACGTAGCGGAAGAGTCTCTGGTGGAGGGATTGCAACCGGAGGAGATACGCCACAGGCCCTGTGGTTGTAGCTGCTCCTTTCCTCTGCCAGTGGACTGTGGCAGTGTTATCGTATAAGTTGTGTACAGTTCTTTCCGAGATGTTCGCAACTTGGGCCAGGATATCTAAGTGAGCCACTGAGCCGGCCAGCTCCAGTTCACTATTGGTGATTGTCCCCTCTGGGTTCGCGAAGGAGACTAGGTCCCGCCGAATCCAGGCTGGGAACGGGGACCTCCAGTACACAGGCTGGATGAGGCCCTCTGGTGTAGGTATAAAATGAACTCCTCCCATGCCACTTCCTGCTGCATCGCATGCTCCAATGGTGGCTGGCCAGAGATCTGGTACCAGCTCTGCTATCCTCGTGGGTCTGCTGGAGATATCTTGGGCCAGCCACCGAAAGTCCTGTAGGAAGCCGTGGAGGGCCTTAGTGAGCCGAAGCCGGTTCCGACCCTTCTCCTGGTGGCGCAAGGCTTCTTGCAGCAAGGAGAACAGGCCCAGTGAGCCTGGGAGGGCTATGGACATGGATCGCAACTCTCCCAGCAGCTTGTGCCAGTCCCCAACTGTGGCGTATTTTTGTTCAGGTTGGATGGCTTGCAACAGCTCCAGCAGTCTCTCCACACGGTGAGGGGGGAGGCTAATAGTTTTGTCTGCAGTGTTAATGAGCCATCCCAGGATCACCTTAGACGTCGACCAGGTCGCATCCCCTTTCTTTAGCTTCTTAATGGAAGCTGGTTCCTGTCGGTAAGGGGTGTCCTTATCATCCAGTGGCCTAAACACCTTGTCCAGGGAGTGTAACAAGGTCCTTTTCACCGCTCGTCTGGTCCACTGGTTACCCTGGACTAATCCACAGAAATCATCCACATAGATGTCCCAGTAGCTCAGTGGTTTCCTGGAAGGAAAGCTCGCTTCCCTGCTGGGTAGTCCGACTGTGTGTGGAGGTGTGTCGGTAGCTGTGGCATCTTCTGGGGGCGTCTCCGCAATCTCATCGAGGCGATGCGGCAGCCGTCTCATCTTCCTGAGCCCCTCCGTTTGGAGGATGCCGTTAGCTAGATCAGCTACAGTCTCCGTGCATGCACTGAAGTTTGGGGGAGATGAGCACCATCCCATCGGGTTAGTGAGGGGAATTCCTACCAGAGGGGGTTCCCCCTCCCTCGTCGATATTAGGAGTAACATTTTCAACAATCCATTGATCAGTGACCCCAGACCCCTCCACTACCTTGTACAAACAAACACCACCGTAACACAATCGCTTTGTAACTAATATCAGGCCATAATAGCTGTGTATCCGTATACCTATCTTGTTGCCTTTCCATCGAGCTCTATAATCAACATCGTCCTTGTGGAGTCCAACATGCCTGCACAATGATACCGCATGCTTTCTGATAGAGTGTGTACCCAGCTTACCGGGTCTCTCTTTGTTGAACTGTCGATTTTCCACACGCGAGTATTTAGAAATCTAGAATACTGCTGTGGTTGTCCTTTACTAACTTCCTTATTCATAATCTTCATTGGAGATCTCTTATCATTAAATCCTTCGGTAAAAAGCCACTGACTAACTGCCCCCTCGCCATCATAGCACCATTTCTCCAAAAACAATGCTAAAGCTAGGACAGCACATGTTTTTTCATTCATAGAACCCATTAGTATCTGATCAGGGCAGTCDCGGTCCTCTCTAACATTTTTTGACCACTTCATTTTCAGTGTCAGAAACTCAGGAAACTGAGGACAACTCTTCAAAGAATCCTTAGTGATATGAGCCATATCATCATTTTGAGCCATGAAATGCATCTGTGTCAACATCATTGCAAAATATCTCTTCTTATCTATGACAGTACCAGCCTCCTGTGATATAAGGTCAACTGCCTGCAAAAATTCACTCTTAGTCAACCGTCTATCTTTGTCAGAACCCCAAGCCCTCTAGTTTCCTTCAACTTGACCGCTGCGATAAGATTATTCACCTCTTGAGACTGCATTGGATTACCGTGCCCTACACCTTGGATTACAGTCCACTTGACAGTCTTGTTGGGTACATAATAGGATATCCCCTTCTTTGCATATTCAATAGTTGTAGACCTTTCAAATATAGGATTATCATCTGGGCCAGGATCCTCTTTTCTATAGCACTTAAGTGCCAAAAATCGATACACATGTTTGGGGGTAATATCCACAAAATCCTCAGGGCTAAACACATGATCCCAATGAAATCTTGTATCAGCAGTCCTTGGAGTGTCATAATAACCATCTCTCCTCCCATGCACATAATCCATGAAATCAAGGAAATATTTGAGATATCTCTTCCACTGATCACAAACATTCACTCCCGGTGGGCTTCTAGCAGTTCCTTTTCTTGGTCTTTCTGCTGTTGTGCTGGTAGTACTGGCAGCGTCCTCCGAAACGACGTCCTCCGCAACAACGTCCTCGTCGGCAACGTCCTCCACACCAAGAACAACGTCCTCGTCGGCAACGACGTCCTCTGCGATAAGGCGTACAAGCTCTGATAAGCCTCCGCCATTTGCTTCATTTGCTGCTTCATTCGCATTCGCTTCATTCGCTTGATTAGCTTGATTCGCTTCGCCGCTGACTGCTGGTGCTCGATTCGCTTTGTCGCTGACTGCTGGTGCTCGATTCGCTTCGCCGCCGACTGCTGGTGCTCCAGTAGTACGTCTGCGGCGTGGTGGTGGCTGTCTTGCTGCTTGCTGTTCAACAATGTTGTCGACGATATTGTTGTTGTCGGCCATTCGTCTTACGTAGCTATTGCTGCTGTACGTATGGTAGGAGTTACTCGGAAACTCAGATTTTAACCGGGAAGGAAAAATAATAAGCACTTGGCTTGAGCAGTTGGATGATTTGTGTTGCAAATCGTTGCAATACAGTGTAAACTCAACGGATGAAAATGCACCTCGGAGGCAAAGTAACAGCAACCCCAAGAAAAGGTGCAGTACCGTTTTTGCGTGTTAATTTTGCACACAAAAGAGTCATTACAGTTGCAAAAATAGTGGTACCAAGTATGGTACCGGTCGATTGGGGGGTTAGGGCCTATGTAGTACATTTGGGCCTAGCCGGCGCACCAATAATGGGAGTGCAACTTTAGTTGCATTTGACGAGTACAGTGCTCATACCAGTTAATTGGTAATAAAATGCGTTAACCGTAAGAACCCTACCGCGCTCTACTTGAAAAAAAGTAATTTTACTCCAAGGGATTTACCCAAAAAATTTAACTAGTAAGAATCACGTTTAATTTTGTTAATTTTGAAGCCCAGTATTTAGTACTGATCCTACATAGATCTACTACTATTCGGTCACTTTTTCCACCACAAAGAGCCCAATACGGTAAAATAAGCTAAACACAACAGCTCCGGAAAGGCCTCTAATGAGATCACCTTTGGGGATATTCTCAGTCATAGTGTTAAGAAGAGTGCTGTGTGTCATTGTTACACGATTAAGGACCAGGGGGGAGCCGGTTCTCCATTAACAGCTGGTATGGCCAAATTTGGCCAGTGGAGACCGGCTACTGGTTAGAAAATAGGCCAGAACTCTATCAAAAAACAACTTTAGACGACCACCAGACTAAGCGCCCAGACCAAGTTGATACAATTACTTAAAGATCCAGGTCATTGGGATTCCAAAGGATGCTCTAGCGGCTTAGAACTAGTCAGCCAAAGTTACAGTAGTGATGTGGCCCAAAATCGTTAATTCTAGGTGTAATTTTATTACCGATTAACTGGTACTCGACAATGAGTTCTTGTCCGAGGGCCACAATTTTCAAGATTTTCCGCGCCAAAATTATTTGAGCTATGATGAAGCTGAGGCAATCAAAAAAGACCGTTCATGCGCGAGCAGTGCAGGAACTCAGAAATCACATTCTTGAGCGCTTTGTGTTGAGGAGAATCGAGCATTGGCGCGCCTTTTCTCTGTCGAGTGCAGTAGGTACCAGTACCAAGTAAAGTACTCGTCCTCGGTAAAATACATATTTACTGCACTCGTACCGCACGGTACGATGCATTCTGGGATCCTTCCTTCGATTTCACCCATTCACTTAACGCAAAGGAACGAGTCAATCCGAGACAACGACGATTGATACCCATTAGTTGCGCCAGAGCTGTACCGTAGTGATGTCGGCACAGAGAGAAAAAGAGATTCKTGTGTCGTTGGGTCTCGAAGAAGGTGACGACGACGACGAAGACGCCGACGACGAGCCCCGTCGCTTTTTGCGTTTGCCATCGGGCCATTTGCTGTGCTACGGTGGAGACAATGGCAACGTGAGTTGTTTGCTTCCACGAGTCAAAGATAGCAGCAGTAAGAAGGACACAAACGAAAGCAAACCTAAATTCGTTGTTGTGCAACGCTATGACGATGCCGTTCGTTGCATCGACRTCTCCGATGATGGGAAGCGCCTCGCCATAGGTTTCGACACGGGAAAGACCCAAGTACATTGCTTTGATGAATATATCGTGCAAGATAACAACGTCAATAGCAATGACGATGGGGGGAACAAATCACTTCACCCCTACGTGAAAGCACTCGAGAAGTTCAAGGATCCACAAGAAAGCGATGGTGACGGAATCGGAAAGAACGAYGATTTCCTGCTGTCTCAAGATCCAMACTGCAACATCAATGACAACACCTTCGGCTACTTTGCCGGACCCGACCTCGGCGCCCCAGCTCGAGACGTGCTCTTCCTCCCAAATCACTCGAGATGCGATGGCGATCCGTCCGGCTCTTCGCCGAGTCCCTACCTCCTGGCCGTTGCCTCGGAAGCAGGCATGTTCGTAGTCGACGTCGCAAGCAAGGAAACCATGGACGGGGCCGATCGCTGGTTGGAGCAAGAGGCGAAGGAAGCACACGATCGGTGCGGTATTCGCGGCCTTGCCACGGGGACTCTCGACAAAATTACCGTTCTCGCGAGTTTGGCCATGGACGGCCGTCTGTGTCTCTGGGATGTCACGGGCAAGACCCTCTTGCAGCGCGAACACATGCCGTGCGTTCCAAAAAAGGACGTGGGGGAAATYCATGATGCAGACGCTTTCGATCGGTCGTGTCGGCCGCTCCTAGACCATTGCGCACGGACGAAGGGTCTAGTGATCGGGACACCGGGAAAGTTGTCTCCGTGTTTTCGCACGCTCGCATCGAACGAAAAGGACGAACCAATGGATATCAAAACCGTTCCGGATTCCTCGTTCGGAGACGCCGCAGATGCAGAAAATGGGCACGTGCAATCCATTGTCGTTATGTTGCTCTGCACGGACCGGCTCCTTGTAACCAGCGGACGAGACGGCCGAGTCCTCGTATGGGAAGGAATTGYTGCTGATGCCAATGCAGACGATAGTTTTAGGARCCTTGAGTGGAAGGTAGTGGGGAAACACCAACTGGCATCACCTGCCACAGACTTGATCGTAGAAAGACCAGCTAGCACGGGAAAGGTATCACTCTTTTCGGCGTGTGCAAATGGCAGTCTTCGCGTCTTGGATATATCGAAACACTACCAGAAGCAAGCGCAATCAAGCACTACGCGTTCCAAAGAGAGCACAAACACTACTGTTGTCAAAGCCAATTCAAGGGAGGRAGAAGGCGACCAGACGAAGAGATTGTCTGGTAGCACTTCTGCTCCAAAAATCCTAAAAAAAGGCCGTTTTAGYGACAACAGCGAAGACGATGAATCCGTCGATTTTTCTTCCTCGGAACAGCCAAAAAACGTTCATTTTCTGGACGAAGCCCAAGAGGACGACACCGAGAGCGTGGGCAGGAATAACAAGCCAAGCACGCGAAGCGCAGAATTTTCGAGTGTCGARTTTGGTAGCAACTCAGATGGTGACGACGACGACAGCTTGATAGACAACGATCTCGATCGGCTTCCCTTGGTTCCGAACCGAACGGGGTTTACGAACTTGGTCAAACCACAGGCAGCCTTTTCTCCGTCATCGACCCCCTTGGATCTGACACGACGATTCTTGTGCTGGAATCACATTGGCAGTGTCACGCTTCTCCAAGGTGACAACAATCGGAACACAATCGATATCAATTTTGCCGACTCGGCATTCAAGCGACCAATCAGTTTCACCGATAACATCAATTTTATTATCGGGAGCATCGGAGAGAGTGGAGGTATTTTTGCGTCGGATCTCATGGAAGAAGACACCGAAGAAGACGATGTCGATGGATTGGACGAACTCAACATGTCCGAGCGTACGAAACAAGCGGTGAGACGAGACAGAAGAAAGCGTTCCAAGAACGCCGAAGGATCTAAGCCAACAGGATCCAGCATTTTCTTTTACCGCTTTGAGACTTCGAACTTGGTYAATCGCAGGAACAAAGATTGGCATTTGATTCTTCCAGATGGTGAACGCGTATTGGGTGCAGCTTGTGGGGACGGGTGGGCCGCTGCCATGACTAGGTAAGGAACAAATACAACGCACATCTCGTTTCTCATGAGTCTACTTTTTTCGCACACCTCACATTTCCTTTCAAATTTGCCATCAACCAATAATGCTACGCTTTTCCAGTCGCCAATTCCTTCGTTTCTTCTCTCCTGGAGGCAACCAAAATCAAATGGTCTGGCTCAAAGGAGAGCCAGTTACCATTGTTGGACGTGGTAGATTCTTAGCTGTTTTTTATCACGAATCCTCTCCGTTAGCGGATAGAACCCAACAACTTGGTTACACACTGTGGGATGCGGCAGAGTTCAAGATTCTTTCGCGCGGCTCTGTATCGTGCCTCAGTAAGGGATCTTCTCTGTCATGGGTAGGTTTCAGCAACGACTTCTCCCTTATGGTCATGGATACTGACGGCATGCTATCCATGTTGATTTCGACCACCCGGGAGAGCAACGACGATGCTTTCATGTGGGAATGGGCTCCGATCCTTGATACGGTCGGTTTGCGCAAGTCAACGGATGACTGCCATTGGCCAGTCACGGTGCATGATGGGAAATTAGTATGCATCCCGTTGAAGGGCGGCAACACATACCCAGATGCAACTCGGCGTCCAGTTACATCTATGCTCGGACTTCGGATGCCGTTGGCCAAATCAGTTGTATCGAAGAAGTGAGTGCTTTTGCTGATTCTGGCTCTTTCTATCTTCCTCGACAGTATTCTATTTCAACGCTCACAATTTTTCTTACTCAATCTAGTTCTATGCTCGAGGAATTAAGTGTACGTTCTAACATTGCTCTTTCACAAAAGAATTTTGTCCGTGAAGTTGAGCGAGATAACGAAGATCTTGAGGACGAGTATGTAGCTCTATGTGCGCAGGTGGTAAGTTCATGGATAGCAGTGTTCAGCAGCGGATCAAGCGATTGGTACATGCGAAACACAGATGAGCTCAATCTATTATTCGTTACCTCTGACCGTATATCGGTTTCTATTTCTGCAGGATAAAGTCACACTAAGACTCTTTTCAGGCATGGTTGATGGAGGAAAATTAGAAACTGCATTTGACCTCATCAGCCGACTCAACTTGGAAAAAAGTTATGACATTGCAATCAGGATTGCAGATCGCGAACACAAATTGGCAGATGAAATCGAAAAAGCGAAGGAATTCAAATTTTCGACAAGAGATGATAGCGACTGTGAAGAAGACGAAGGCATTACAACTAATGATTTCCGAGGTTCAAACAAATACAATCGATCGAAGCAGATTAGTCCAGACTCTAGCCGAAGCCACAAACGACCTGTCGATCTACACCAGCCAGTAGGTGCTGGGAACAAGAGATCTCGTTTTGATTGAACACGAATTTCAATTTCAGTGGTGAAAGTATTACAYGCTTATTAACAAAACCCAAGGGCAAACGTAGATAATAAGGTTCGAAATAAATTGTGTCCTTTTTCTCCAATTTGCAACCCTAACAGAAGGAGTGCCCACGATACTCGGAAGTGAACGCCCCTTCTCCTCCTGTTATGCTGCGTAAGCTTTTGGCATAGCCGAGAATTTCAACTAAAGGAACGCTTCCGCGAACAAGCGATTTCCCGTGAATTCCATCTCCAGCAACAACATCCCCAACAATCCCGCGTCTATTATTTAAATCAGACAATACTGTACCCACCATATCGTTCGGAACTATGATTTCAACAGAAACGGTCGGCTCTAAAATAGCACAGTCGCTTTCATTCTGATGGAGRCAAAGTGCAACAGCGTTGGCCGCTGCAGCTTGAAGTGATCCGGGAAGAGCTGTAAGAGCAGCGAGCCCACCTTCTGCATCGACGTTTTCAACGTGACATATGACATTCGTCATTGCCGCTGACTTCAATAAACCCCGCTTAAGAGCGCCTTGGCAACCTTGGATCAATGCTTTCGCAATGCTACTCTTGCCTAATAACTCTTCTTCCCTCAAGTCTTGATTCAATCCCAAAAACTCGCGTGCCTTGGGACTTACTGTCACAATTGGGTCGGTCAACATCATACAAGAATTRTCTCCACAATCAGAATCCCTGCGGTGATTTGGTTTTATGGTCARATGAACAGCAGCTTGTAGCCGTGTAGATCCTATGGTGCGATCATATTCAACCAGGCCACCGAGGGTTTCCACTTTTGTTTTCACTGTTTCGCGGTAAGCAACAGAAGGAGGACCGACCATAACCTGTARTCCGAATTCTCGACGTAGCCTATCAAGAGTTACTTCAATATGAAGTTCTCCTAATCCCGACAAAAGGGTTGCTGACTCGGTCTCTTCCACAAAGAGACTCGGATCCTCAGTTGCCATCAGTACCAATGCCTCTGAAAGTCGTGCTTGCTGTTGAGATGTATCTGACTCAAGACGAACAGTTATGACCGGTTTGGGAGATGCAACTCCAGCCAAATACACCAAATCATTACTAWTGTTCTTGTCTCCTTTCTTTTGTTTTTGACTGGATGACGCCAACATCAAAGTGTCCCCTGTCACTACTGTTTTAAGACCGACAAGAGCACAGACTTCGCCGCTCTTGACTTCGCCACCTTCGATGTTGTCAAAACGGCCACCAGCGAGTTCGAGCATCCCGCCTACTCTTTCAGTACGTACTTCGGCTGCTAATTCACCTGGGGCAGGTGGTGTAATAACTTGGAGCTGTTCGCGATCGCGTAGTTTCCCAGAATATAATCTTGCAAAAACAACGCGACCATCACCGCTGCCTCTACCTTTCATGTGCACGACTTTGAATGCTAGTGCCAATGAAGATTTATCCAACGGATGACCACGTGGAACTATGAATGGTTTTCTCTCATTGAGTTCATCTTCTTTTGATGGCTGGCTGTTAATTAACTCTCCCTTTTGACCATTCCTGTCTAAATTGTGTAACGCCGGCGGTGTCCTGTCGAGAGGCGAAGGGAGAAAGTCTGCAATGCTATCCAAGAGGGGTTCCAATCCTTTTCCTTTTAGGGCAGCGGTAGCCATTACTGGTACCGCTTTCCGCGCTATTGTTGCTCGTCTAAGGGCGGCAAATAGTTCTGAATAGCTAGGATCCTCATCGTTTAGATAACTTTCTTCCGTTCTGGCATCTACTTCAGCAAGAGCTTCAACGAACTCCAGTCGAGCATGGATGGCTTCCTGKGTCACTGGACAATCCTCGTGCGATGGACTGAGCATGTCAGATTGTAGTAAATTAACTACAGCTGGACTGCAATGTTCCACATCTATTCCATTGTTGTCGTCAGGCCAAATGATTGCTCTCATTTGAATGACATCTACGACCCCAACAAATTCTCCAGTGGCCGTGCTTGTATCCTCTACTGAGACTGCCACAACGTTGGACGGAAGTCGATCGTAGATTCCAAGTGATTTGATCATGTCACTCCTGAGGCGTGAGTTCCCCGTGCTAAAAAGAGGAATTTGTATGGGAATGGGATTGGCGCCAGGAAGTTTTTCACGGAGCGATTGTATCGCTCTCCCAAAATGGCATCCTTCCTTATCCATTTTGTTTACCAACGCCAAGCAAGGTAATGGTTCATGGCTGAGATGATCATGTTTTCCGTTCTGTGAATTGTCGCTTCTAGTAGTTGATGAATCGTCTTGCATTATGTGATTGTTCAAAGATGGCCTTGTAATTGCTCTCCAAACTGTTTCAGTTTGCGCCTGAACTCCAGCTACTGCGTCTACTACTAAAACAGCGCCATCGAGCACAGCAACACTGCGATTYACTTCAACAGAAAAATCAACATGCCCCGGTGTGTCAATGATCTATATGTGACGTATGTGTGTATGAGGGCGTCAGCAATTGTKACGGAAAACGAGAAAGTCAAACACCCGGGATTACTTGGTTTCCAAGCATGTTATATCGAACGTTCTTTCCCAGAGGTCAACGTTTAATGAACGGGATTGCTTGATACTGTATGACTCGATTCAGATCGACTTACCTGAATCGAAACATTATCATTTTGTTTCCAATCGTCACCGGCAACTTCGTTATCTGTAGATAATGTTTCCTTTTCGTTGTTATGCCATCCCCATTCAAATGATATTGCAGCACTTTGAATTGTAATCCCTCTCTCGCGCTCTGCRGGTAAGAAATCGGTCACCGTGTTTCCATCGTCGACAGAACCAGCGCTTCGAACTACTCCAGCGAGTTCCAACATACGCTCCGTGACGGTCGTCTTACCAGCGTCGACATGTGCAAGTATACCAACATTGCGTAGATGCTTTAGCCGTTGCACTTCGGCACCATAATCATTCCCCCAAGAGTTTCTGGCAGTATCTAGGTTCTTATTTCCAGTTGTGGAAAAGGCGGATGATCTGAAWCGAARGTATTGGCATGCTACTGTCTTGTGATTGTTTCTAATTGTAGCAAAATACGACGTCGAGTCTACCCTACGTTGTTGCGATCGAAAAGGAGAACACAAGGTCGATGTTGAAGAACGGATTATCCTCGCCATCACCGCGATTTTCTCTCCTTTTGTGCTTTGTTAATGAGAGGGTATGGTAGAGCACAGTTGATTTGTCTGTAACTTGGCATCCTAAAAGTCGTAATGAAATGAAGATATTCTTCGAAAATACTTCCAATTTGACGAAACGCAATATTTTGTGGTGGACTACTAACGACAGAAACTTTTTAGTAGAAGTACAACGAGTATGGTACCGTACCAAAAGGCATGTAGGTACGTACGTATGTTTTGTTCGTCTCGTTCCAACTTTCACAAGAACTTGAAAATCCTTTCCCAWAACAAAAAACAGCCCCTGAGAAACCAAAAAACACAGGACTGCTCKGCATTATTGAATATTGAATTGAATTGAAGTAGTACCCGTACATACGGGGTAGTACGAGTACCGGTATGTATCTACTTCGTACTTTAACAAAATCATCATTATCAATCAAAATTCAAAGCTTATCAAAACAACATGAAACAGAAAGTGCTGCATGGTAGTAGGACAAATTCAACTAAATGGTAAACATCCTTTTTCATTTTGAAATATAGTTTATCGCAATGTCAGACACATCATCCTTCGTCGATCCAGTATTTCTTGCAAGATTTGGTCTTTCCCGGGTTAATTTGATCGATTATTTTCTCCATCCTCTCAACCCTTTCCGGACGCCAAACAATACGAGCAATGAAGTCTTGACGATGCAGGGGATAAGCATTGAATTGTTGATGCAACCTAGTTTCGGCCATATTCCTCTCTCTCCAATGGCAGCAGAGGAGGCATATGCCAAAAATCTGTCGAAACTGACAGGAGATCAGTATGAATTGCTTCCACCACCCGATCCCAATGATCTTGAACAATACACTCTACCGTCGCCTTTGTACACAATACGTCATGTCATTCGGACAAATGTCAATAGTGTGAAGGTTTTGGGAATTTATTACGTGGTTGAAGGGGTAATTTACAAGAGTCCAGCTATACGATCGTTGATGAAATCCAATGTCTCCAGGACACTAGATGGCTTGGCAGGTATGGCTTCTATTGTTTTTGAGAGAGCAACACAACTCACCGTTGCAAGGGTCGCACGGTACTGTTCCATCATAGGCCCGCCATCTTGTTTTTGTTTTTGAATGGTATTCGGTTCGACTGSACATCACACTTGGGGCAGTGACTGACAGATAACTGGTTTTATTTCGTTTTTTGGTTGCTTCGATGTCACTACAGGGGCTTGTTCTGCGCTCAGTGTTTGCGCTCGTTATCTTCCATCAACCGGATATACCTGGTTGTTTAATGAAAACGAGGACGTCAACAAGTCGAAGAACRATGTCGATGCTGTCGATCCGGTTGTCTCACTTATGAAATTGAACAAACGAATGAAGCGACGTAAAATCCTCGACAACCGTAAGGCTGGGGAACGAAACGAGGCAGAAGAAGAAGGACTCCGTGCATCTGCAGCGATTGATCAAATATTAGTGCGTCTGAGCAAGAATTCRCATTTTACTGCGGCCACAAGCATAGATGACGATAGAACCTCTACGAACATTCCACAATATCAGGGTGGTACAATAGCTGTGGCAGAGCCAACTTCATCGAATGATCGGACCACTACCACGGGTGTCCTTGCGTCGTCGTCGCTGAACGTCAAATAGGCTTTAAARGCATTCGCGCATTATCACAATTGAATCACTACCGTACACTACCACTTAAAATATCTTAATTTTCATCAGGGCTCTCTCGAAGTCAATGTGCAGTACAAATATCTGGGCCCTAATTTTTGTSAGGAAACTTGATGGTTTTTATTTTTGTAATGCTTCTACCGTAATTCTGTATTCATGCAGATGAATTTTCACTCAAGCAGAATATAAAGAAACACATAAAGTACGAGGCATTTCTTGTATCGAAGTGCAGAGGAATCGAACAAATCGTGCTGACTTGTCCAATTTCAAAACTTCCATGCTTAACAATTACTTTGCATATTCCTTTATTTGCCTTCATCATCTTCTTCATCCTTGTTTGCAAGAGGCATTACAGCGTTAACACGATCTTCGAGTGCGTTAGCACCCGCATCCGGTTCGATCTCAGTTTGTACACCGACCTGTTAGTCGATCGTTTCCATCATTAACATACCAAATCAAAGATTGTGAGTCACTCGTCGCAGGCATTCTTACACCTAAAGAAGTGGAAGAAACAGATAGGGACATTGAACTTACATAGTTTACGATGCAGTTGTCGGAGTCGCGCAAAGCCGCCACAAAAAATTGGTTCCAAAATGGAGTGCCATCAGCCTTGTAGTTGAGAATACAGACGGTGCAATCGGATCCCGATTGGATTGCTTTTCGGACTATATCAACAGCCTTCGGATCTGTTCCAGAACCCTGAAGGAACCGACAATTCCGTCCGAGCACTTGTTCTGGTGTGTAACCAGTCAACCTGTAAAAGCCCGGAGTAGCAAAAACGATTGGATTGTCGGGTAGCCGAGGATCTGACAACACRAAGTTTTGTTGTCCAGCACTCAAACTATCGATCAACTGAAAGTCCGATCGAACCAGAGCTGTTTTTCCAGTTCTGTCCTGGGTTTCTTCTTCGCCAGATTGGGCATTTCCATCTCCAAACAGCGGACTCGATGTGCAGCACTCGGATATTATCACTTGTGCATGCTCCGGTATGTTGTCCTGCACCAACATCCGAAGTCTTTGGTTTTCACGCTGCAACGAAGCTACCTGTTCTTGCAACGACTCAAGCATAAACTTTTTTCGAACCCGACTGCGTTTCGCATGTTCCCGATTGCGTTGACGGCGTTCAGCAACAGCTTGGTCGTTCATGCCCATCATCTGAGGCCCTCCCCAGACAATGCCACCAACGCCAGGACCCTTTCGTGCTGTTGCTGGCGCCACCCCTCCTGCTCCTCCAAGACGAATACCTCGTCCTACAGGTAGAGCAACACCGGTTCCTTGCTGCTGATGCTGCGCATACGATCCTTGTTGCTGCTGTTGCGCCATCATAGATCCAGGAACTCCTCCCGGTAAGAGGGCACCACTTCCCATTTGGACCTGGGTACCGCCTTGGAGATGACCTGTATTGAATCCTAGTCGACTAGTAACTCCACCTGTCGCGGCAACAGTAGCAGTCATCGTGGTTGACTTCGTCGTTATTCCTGGCAACAGCTTTGCTCTCTTTGCTACCGGTAATCCCAATGTCTGAGGCTGTGCCGCGGACACCACTGTTGGTGCCGGAGCAGGAACGGCTACCGCCGAGTGGTAGGGGGTCCTAATTCCTGTGCTCAATCCAGGTTGCTGCATCTGTTGCACAGGGGCAGGAGCATAAGTGGTAGAAGCTGGTGCAGGAGCTGTGATCGCTGGTGAAGGTGCTACGGTTCCCGGACCAGCAACATAGTTTCCCATGGCATTGGTGTAAGCATTGTGAGGATTTTCGAATTCACTGATGAAGTACTCTGCAAAAATCTCATTTAGGTCAAAATCATCTCCCTAGATTATTTTCCAGGGAAAMATCGGTAAGGGGTAGAAACRAAACAATGCGGAGATTAGAATCCTTAATCCCAAATGGAATGGAATCTGAAAAGAACCCAATAGACGAAAAACAAAACATGCACTYAAAACAAGCCATTTTCTTCAGACATACCTGGCCTTGCGCWGAGGCAGAGGCAAATAAGGGTTGTTGTATTCCTTGCGACATAGTAATTCAACTTTATTTTGACAATATCCACGGCGGAGGATAACGKTATAACTCGAGTCTACTAGGTGTCTCAAGCTGAGAACGCTGTCGCGTATTCACTCCTCTTTTTCGCTTCCGTTGCGTGCAAGGTACCGTCAGTAGGAAAACCAGCCAAGTAGATAACCTCAACAGATTTTTCCGATTGAYTTGAAGGAGTTGTTTTGAGAAACCTTCAAAGTTCCACAGCAGGCTTCCTTCCAACTCCAAAGTATGTTAATCCCGCAGTGCACCAGTGATCTCACGTTCAAAGAAACTACTTCGATTCTGATACTGATTGTRGAGGTCAGACGACACCTCCGAAGTCGTATATGATAGTCGATAAAACCGCCGACAACAGGAGAGTGGAGGCCTATTCGAGGGTGCCGTTATCAGCGGGACAAATCAAGCAGATCKSAAGAAGGGTCGATGCAGTACAGGAGGGAGTGTAGAATCGATGAAAAGATGATACGCTTCACAGAGTTCAATCGCGTCAACAAACAAAAACGGGCCTACGTTTTCGTTTTCCGGATTCCTCAAGGTGGAAAAAGGTAAAAACATACAGTAGGAAAAAGGAGCGACAAATAATACTGCAAGCAAATTTTTGTCCGACGCGCAGCTCGAAAGTTATTCATCCTCCTGAAGATTACCTTCAAGTAACTTGTGAAAAATCAACGTAAGCGTGGGCCGCGCCGAATGGGCTGGCTCGGGAACCTGCTGTTCAATTCAAAAGCTCATTTTGAGGGGGATATTCCCCCCCCAAAAAAATTAGATGTCCGTATTTCGTATTTCAATGTTTAAATTTTAGTAGCATTAAATACTAAATACAGTATTGTTCATACGTCGGAGGTATAAGGGTCCAGAACGTACGATACCTATGAAGTAATACTACGAGTCTACGAGGTACGAGTAATACGGTACGGTAGTTACAGTAATACAGTACGTAGTTCGTTGTTCTACGGTCGTTCAGTAGTAGAAGTAGTTCGTACTGCACTTCGTACATACTTAGATTCGTACCGGTACAGTGATACAGTACGTACGTACCGTAATACTGTGATACGAATACTTCATTATCGTATCGTACTGTAGTGTACTTCACTGTAGTTCGTACGTACGTACCGTACACAGAGTATCACTCTAGTAGAGCACTTTTGCAGAAAAAGCAAGAAGACARAAGACCCCGCTTCCTAAGTACTGTACGTACTTCTAGTACTGTCCGGTACCGTCTTACCGCACGGAAAGTCTTCATCTTTACTCCTGGACCAAGATTTTGATGCGACAACACATGATTTCGGTATTAAGCACAAACTGATTGTCACCMGCACCAGCTATCATCAACACTCCCCTGATCAACGTGCAAACATCGAAGTAAATATTGATACCCGTAATCAAACGAAACAAATCGGCATCTAMTATACGATGACATCATGTAAAATAATTACGTCGTATGCGTCAGTTACGATTGTAAGATTGATCTTCGCGATTCTGTTGCTTGTACTGTTGACCAAAATGACATCGGCTGGTCTGTCTACTGAGGTCTGCGTTGACGTCGGAGAAACGGAAATGCAATGCACGAGGGAAGTTCTTCAAACAAGGGCGCGATACGACGATACGACAATCAATGTTGGTGTTACTCAGCGTATCGATGGATCGGACTCTGAAAAGCAAGCAGTCAGAGATGTTCTAAGACACATGGATAATTATTTTTTCCATGAGGTTTTGGCTCTTCCAGAATACGAATACGCTCGGTCAAGATGGTATGGTTATAAATTTGTACTGAAATGAACATATTGATGCCATGATTATGGATGAGAAAAAGATTGTCCTTAATATCGTTGTTTTCCATCATCTTCTGTACAACAATCTACGAATATGACGTTTTCGCTTCTACCTTTCTTTTTCGTAGCAAGAACTCCAACGAGGTAAGCTTTTTAGGGCGAATAATTGATTAGCATTAATTGGCACCAATATCTCAATCACTATTTTTTTCTCCAAAGCTTTGTGCTTTCTGGTCATCGGTCGGTAAGCGCTGCAAATACTTCTATGGAAAGAGACGAATGWGAAGTATTGTTCTRTATCAGCGTATCATCATATCTGTCAATACTGTGTCGTTTTGACCATTGGACTCGCTTTTCTTCTTTTGTTTTCCCTTAATGATTGCCACTGTTATGGCCGGCTTACACGTAGGGGAATGCGAGTCAAACCGAGTTTTCATGTTGAGCAACTGTCCCGCGGCATGTCGCTTCTGTTTACTACTGCATTCGGGCTTAGCCTCCTAACAGCGTTCACATAGAATTCGACCGACATCTTGACRACAGTAAGAAAGAGATTTTGAACCCCCAGTATCATTTCACTGGTATCTTCGTGGCAAAATTATAACGGCGCTTTTTTTGCGTGTGCTTCCCCTGTGCCAAAAGCTGGAAGGTAAGAGCCCCTTCTTGAAACGAGGCCAAGTGAAATAGTTCCAATGTAACTATTATTCCTCTTGCAATGAAATGGTAACTCAGTGAGATGACCTAGCATTCATTGCAACTAACAATGACCTAGAACATTTTAGCCTTCAAGGGAGTTCTCGTTGATATTTGCAAAACTCAGTGGGTTTATGGGTTATAGTTGAATGATTTTATCAACCTCTGATTGAGGCACAAATCATGAAAATAAATTTTTCCTCCATCCCACAATGATTGTCTATTAATACGATTAGTAAGTCTGCTTTTGTTGTCCCAACAAGAAATTTTCCTGCTTTGCTTAACATGCTTGATAGATTATTTGTTTGAGCAATGGCTGTAGACAGTGTGCAGAAATTTGAGTGCCAGAGACTACAAAGATTATGAGAGACCACAACATACCATGGTTTCCCATTAGCATGTTTTTGCTGGCTGGATATTTCTTGTTCTTCCAGAAAACAACCAATGATGGTGTAGTAACCTTTGTCRTGAACATCAAAGCCCCTAACTGAGTGCATACCAATTGGTCTGTCAATGTCGAGAAAACACAGTATCTGGTATGTATAGTGCTTTAGAACAGGACTACTGTYGACTGGATAAACATCCCTTTTGTTTGGAAGATAGARSAGAAAATACGCCTAGTCAAACCACATGTTGCATTCTTGCCCGGAATCTGATTTGAAAGAGGGGTGTGSACGGAATAAAAGTTTTTCATTTGTTGCCRAGTCCATTCACTCATGTTCAGTGAATCCTTTCAACTCCTTCATGGCAAATGCTTATAGCATGTCCTTTGCACAAAAATTAACAACTTCAGTTGGTAAGCAAGGGAGATTTCTCTGTTGGTTGTCCTTTGCATCCAATCTCRTGTATGGCAAACCTTTATCRTCTCTTTTTCCAATTGTGAAYGAAGATCCACTTCTCAGTTYAGGAGACTGGAGATTTGTTACCCGATTACAACTTTAGCAGGGGCTTTCACTTCAGTCTTATAGTTGCTCTTGCTCCAAGARGAGTCCCATCCAGAAGGAGGGCTGTATAGCCAGATGTATTGGGATTGATGAAAATACATGTGGTTCTTTATAAGATTGTTTCCCATTCCATCTGTCCTTGTGAGGTATTTGTCAATGTTGTTAATGAAGTGAACAACCATCTTGTCCAAGTTGGAAGCTCTCGAAAATCCCTTTTGGGTACCTGAAGACATAATCCAAATTTTGGTTGTTGGAGTGTTTGTTGGCTGAGCCTGTGTTGACAGAGGGTTCAGTACCAAATATATCCCGTGGGGTACCAGACCATTTGAAGAATTCTTTCATGYCCAATATGACGAGTTCCAATGCAGAAATACACCTGTGTATCATGTCTTTGGCTTGACAAATCCTGAGTAGTTTGGGACCTTCCTTTGACAACAAACARAGGATCTGTAGTAATAGCATGCTGCTAAAATGGCYGCCCTCCTTCTTTGCAGTGTGGATAGACTCAGAAAAATTGGTACAGGGAAAGTCACAGTCAGACTGCCTTTGGAGTGATGCRTGCCATAATGGCTGCCTATTGCATCCATGCCGTCAAGGAGCTTCTTTGATATTCCAAGAAACACATCACTGAAGGTTTCTGTTACTCTTTTGCACAGCCTAACTGGTGCATATAAGCCTCTCTCCCAAGGAAGCAAGGTGAATGTTGTGCAAATTCACACCAAAGTTGATCTCATGAAAGGTATTTCCCTGTTGAATGCAATGATGGGAGATGTTTTGACAACAATGTTGTCCAAGAGATACACCTTCTGGAACAGTCAACTCTGTGAAATCAGAAGGATGCCACAACCTGAGGGGGAAGAAATTTACCTTGCTACTTCYGCTGGGTGTTTTTTCATCCTCTTGTGCTGTGGTGTACATTTSTCAGTCTCTAGGTCAGTATATTTGTCCAACATGTCCTTGTTGCATTCATTCCCTGTGCGGGCTTCCAATGCCTCCACCTCTTCCAAAACAAAGGCATTCAGCATGTTAGCATTTTTGTTGATTCCAAGGGAGCGGGAACAACTGTAAAGTCTGCATATCATTCTAGTATTTGCGGATGTATAATGGCCATAGAGCTAGTAGTTGTGCTGTTCAGTGTCACCAATGAAAAATGCTACCGCAAACTTCATTTTGACATGAAAAAGCTTCCCATTCCTTGGATACTTGTGCCATCAAATAGCATGGGAGGACTTGCATACTTCTTTGAAAGAGGCAAGGGCAGCTTGTAAACCATCATGGGGATTATTGACATTGTCTACTGACTGGTTACTTTTTTCCTGGGGATGGAAATATATTGTCTCCCAAGCATTGAGTCTGGTAGAAGGCCTATAATCACTGAATATCCCAAGAGTCATGTTCAGAGGGCATCAGGTTGTGCTTTTATGTCTATCAATTGCAATACCATCCATATAAAAAATAACTGGAAGTAGCATCTTGTTGTCATTATTTGGGACACACTTTATCATTCCATGTTTCCAACCACCATGGAGTTTGCAAGAAATAAGAGTGTCTTGTGTGAGTTCAGGGTCACAGCAGGGAAGGCAGGGCTTCTTTGATCRGGGAAGCCTCCAAATAACAGATTTTTGATAACCCCCTACTGAAGAACYATTCTACTATAGAATTAATTGTTATATTGGCAGAATTCCGTTAAAATTTGCACAATTTGCGCAAAAACTGAAAAAAAACTCAGTTTGGGACCTCTCCACCAGGCATACACACCATTGAATTGGTTTGAACTGAGATTGGGTGAGTGCCAAATTCAGAAAACATGGTCTCAAAAAATGGAATAAAAAATGGAAGTTTGTGTTATGAATTCTTCAATGATAATCTAACAGTAGGATCGGAAAATTTGAGGGTTGTGACTGTGCAAAATGCAAATAACGTCTGATCTGGTTTGTGTGACAAATATAGTACTTAAAACAATTTGTACAAGTGTCTAGTACTAGTAGTACTAGTACTAGTATACTGGATTGGATTATGAATGCAACGTGAAGAA